TTGCGATGCGTACTCGATGTCCGTTCCTTGAAGACTTGCTTTATTTTTGAGATGGTGTTGGTAGGGAAATCATGCCCCTAAGCTTTTACTTAGTCTTGCTGTGTAATGCACAACGTTTAACCCCATATCTTAACCTTGTCTGATCGAGCGGCAGTAAGAAGGGAGTTGATTACATGGGTCACTCGGCGCAGTTCCATTCATGGATCCGTTTCGTCGTTGACGTGGCCCCGATTAGTATCAGACTAGAGCTATGGTACAGGCTCCCAGTTCTGCCGTCGCTCGTTCGGACAAAGTTTAGACATGCGTTCAACCTTGTGCATTACACAGCTCTTTAGGTAGTCGTGCGAGCAAACAAACACTTGACCGAACTCTTGGAAAAAACTAGATATTTTAACGGGCGCGAGAAGCTCAGTCCGTTGAAAGATCGAGTATGAGTGCGCCGTAGCCCCCCTCGCGCGGGGCTCAGCCTCTCGAGTGACGTCTTGCGTTGGTGCGCTTTGCTAGGTTGTCGTTGGCGACACCGCNCACCGCTTTTTGGGTGTTGTTTTAGCTATCGATCGAGACGACGCCAGCTACATGTGGATCGAGCCGGAATGTACGAGATCGCGCGAGCGAGGAGGACGAGAGCGCCGCGACAACGGCGACGACGGCTGTGGCTGGCTGCGCACCTGCTTCTGGGTTTGGTTTGTGTTAGAATTAGAGTATTCCCTTGGTGGTGTAACTTGTTGATGCAATGCGACGGCCCGTACATACGCATGATTGAAACACACAAGAAATATGCCAGCATTTTGTTCAAATNGAGATCGCGCGAGCGAGGAGGACGAGAGCGCCGCGACAACGGCGACGACGGCTGTGACTGGCTGCGCACCTGCTTCTGGGTTTGGTTTGTGTTAGAATTAGAGTACTCCCTTGGTGGTGTAACTTGTTGATGCAATGCGACGGCCCGTACATACGCATGATGATTGAAACACACCAGAAATATGCCAGCATTTTGTTCAAATTATGTCAAGAATCATAGTCGCTTCACCAATGTGACCGAAACAGATTTCTGTGGCTGGTCAGACTGTGTGGGGCAGGTCCAAACATCGCAGGAAGAAGATATAACCTATCTTCACCATTGCCTGCAACGCGCGGACCCAGCACTTGTTTCTTGGTATGATGCGACAAAATCTACATTTTTTTCTCGGTGTTTTNGAGTGCGACACTCAGACCATGTTCTGTTTGTCAATATTCAAGGTTGAGTTCGTTCCTCCGTGCCGCCGAGACTCGTTGTGAGAATTAGAGCTCTGTGACTTGAATTGTGAAACTCGAATAGCTCCATTTCTATCAGCTTTTAGCATTTTAAAAGGCAACATTCGACTCCTGTGTTTTTGCTTCTGAAAGAGAGACATGTTTTTCCGAGGGAAAAGGGTACTTGGCGAACGGTTGTGGTGCTGCTCTGGTGGCGTGAGACACTCAGGCCAGG